CAGAATATCATTTGAATCTTATAATAAAATGTACAATTAATGTATAGACCATCAGATACCACAGCTTTAAAGAAACTTGTTTCCACTTGAAATTCATTCTTGAAAGAAGAACAACAAAGTGTTTAAAATCCCACTGAAATAGCATTTTGGATTATTTCCTGTTGACAAAATGAATTAAGTTTAGTTTAGTGTGACTAGAAATATCAGGTGATAGTATATAATATAGTTAGTTATAGTAAAGCTGCAAAAATATAACTTCTTTGAAGTCATTTCTATTTTCATTTAAGCCCCACACCTTATTCTCTTTTAAAAAAAAGTTTATACCCTTTTTTTTTTATTATTTTAATTAAAAAGAAAAAGCGTCTTGGCATTTATTGTAAAATTGTGTACATTAGCTAACAATAAGCAAAAGTAATTTTTCCATAAATTAACTCTAGCCTTAAACAGCCCAGTGGCCGGCAGGCTCATCACACACCACTCTGCTTTGGGGAAAGTGTTTGTCTTGATTACGCTCGGCTTCCTCGCCTCCCGCACCATCGCTCTAATTAAAGATGTTCCACTGCGATTAGTAGCATTTCATTATTTACTGAGAATCACCACAGTATGAAATTAACAATTTCTGTAATGGGGTAAAGAAAAAATAACAAACTCATGATAAATGCACAAACTGGCATTATTCATAATTAGTGGAACTTATGGTGGGAATATGAAGATAAATGTGAGCTGAGTGCTGTGAACACACACAGAGCCCTTTTAAAAAATGATCCAATATGTGCACAGGGTTTTTATTTATTTATTTTATTGCCTTTTTAGGAAGCATTTCAACCAAATATCTACTCATTCAATCATTTATCTGTCTTTGATTAAAAAGAGAAAGGATTCATGGGGGCCTTTTGGTTCACATTTCTTATCTTTATTCTTCTATTTGAGAGGAAATACGAAGTCTAGTTGTAAGTCTCTACACATTAACATGCTTTGTCAGATCTCATCTATGAGGGGCATTAGAAGGCTTTCAAAGATTAAAATGATGATGTTTAAGTCCAGTGGTTCCAACTTTTTGGGAGCATTTAGCCTTTAATTGGACTTTCTATCTAACTTGCCAGGAAGCAATTACAACAGGAGAATCTCTCATTTGGATTTCTGGATTTCTAGGCACAAATAAGGCACATTATGTTGGTTCAAAGAGAAGTGTCCACACTGAGCACATATAATTGGGTGTAAGTGTTTTAAATGAGCTTTTAATCAGAAAGTAATGCCTCAGGTAAATACAATTCATGCAACTTTTTTTTTTGCCATTTTAGGCGTCTATCTGCTTGTGTTGCTTTTGTCATAATTCTAATTTAAATTACTAAATTAAACAATCTCCATGACAATAAAGGGCAGTAAATACACACCTTCCATGAACAAATAAACAAATATGTGTAGTTATAATTTATTAAGACCGTGTATGTATTGTTATTGAGAGCTGCTAATCCTAAAATAACTGAGAATTTTAACAGTTTTTCATACTCATCTTATACAAATGTACTGTATGTGTTTTATGAGAATCTGGCAATAAAGTTGTTCTTCTAAATTCAAAGCACTGGCAAGAATAATGCTTTTGTTTTCACCCTTGTGTTATATGGAAACTATTATTGATCAAATCCTGCGCAGAACATCCCAATTATGAACTTATGTGGAGAGTTATTTCCACATCTTACATATAAAGACACCATATCAGCATCTAATCAATAAGCTGTATGTATCAATAAAGAGCACAAGCTGGAAGCTGACCTCCTCCTTTATAACCTTTGACAGGATTTAAGTGAATGGGAAATCCAATAGAAAGTGAGCGGCTGAGAGTTTATAATGTTACAAGATGTGCGTGCTCAATGCAAGCAATCATCCTCGACAATAAATATGATTAGTGGCATGGAAAACAGCCAGCTCAAATATGAATACGGTCATGCATTTTTAATGGGGATGACAGTTTACTGTAACAAATAATAACAAGTCTGGGAAAAGATTTAACTTGTACACACACAGTCGCAGACATCATAAAATGCTTCACCTTCACATGAGGAGTTTTATGACAAAAAAATGAATTATCAGCAAACTTAAAGGCCCAGTTTAGTGACGTCTAGCAGTGTAGTTGCAGATTACAACCCCATCGCCTCACCCTTCCCTTTCAAATGTAAAAACTCGACCCAGCATTTGGTTTGTCTTTGCTTTTGTAATATGGCGGTTAATCATGGCAGACTTCATTAAATTTCATCAATTTAATTGATTTCAGTTAACTCAATAACAAAAAGATAATGCATTTCAAAGTTGCACGCATGAATAATGATAACTAACATGATGTACATAATTCTGAAATGGTATCCAATGGTTTCCATAATAAGTCATTTTAATTGTGGTATTTTAAAGTAAAGGTGTCTATGTTGTTGATAATGTTGATATCTGTTTTTGCTGGGAACCAGAATAGAGACTCACGTGAGCATTGTGGCTGCAGAAATGAAAAGAAAGAGGCTTAAGCACGCTGTGAGGACCAGGATTCCAAACCGTCTTCCTCCTAGACAGGAATGTAATACGTCTACTTTATTTATGAAATCTACCGAGCTACCTCTTGCTGTTTATTCTTATGAAGACCTAACTAGAGAATCTTATTAACTTTAGCTTTAGCCGTGTTACCAAGCAACTGAATCTGTTAGCTGCAGGCGTGTGTGCAACCTAGGTGATGAACAGTACTAGTTTTGCCACCAACATATTGCAGTTATTAATCACATAACCTGACACATTACCTCATTGCTATGCATCGTGCAAACAGCTCTGTTTAAAAAAAGGGAAAATAGTATTGAAAATGTATTCTTTTCACTCGCGTCCAAAACGAATGCTAGCCAGATAAAGATCTTTACAACACAAGGCAGAAACACACTGCTTTTGTCCACAGGGGGCCCCAAAACAAAAAAATGATAGTTCCTTGTGGTTGCTTTAAGCAAAACATTTGAGTACTTCTTCCAATACTGTGCATAATTGAAAAAGTGTGTACTGTATATCTAATATCTGTCTGTAAAGCTTGCAGTCTGTCTCCTCCTCTGCCCTTTTTAAATGTTTTTTTTATTCATGGAACAAACAGCAGCAGGTTTCTAAAGGGTCAAAGTTTGAGCTCAACACTCATTCATCAGCGTGAGTCCTGTCAAAATGTCTTTCATCCAAACATTAAAAACTGCTGCTGTGAATAACAACGTCAGATGAATGCTTTAGACGTAAAAAAGCTCAAACCAAACGTCTGCAATATCTTTGCCTCGAGCAAATTTGCATTCTGATCAAGAAACGTCCTTCGTATGTGGGAGGCACTGGCAAACATCCTGGTTTATGAACTGTCTGTCAGCATGTGAAGCAGCACATAGTTGCTGAAGAAGAGAGGTAAGAGGAGGGTAGGAGGGACGGCATTTAAATGTGGCATTGAGATCATTTACTGCCAGAGAGGGGAACAAAGCAGGGAAAACAGACTGTGTATTTAAATGTATCGCCTTGTGAAGCTTCAGCAACGACGAGGGAGGGAATCTCCAGTGCAGCAGCTCTGCAGCCTTCAGTTCTCAGTGTTATTAGCGTCAGTTTCTGATTTGGTCAGCTTGCAGCCGAGAAGCAGCGAGAGGGAAGTCGGAGGAAACTTTAAAATTGAGCTGCTGGGAGTCGAGTGCAGGGTTGAGGATTTTATTTGACCAGATAAAGGAGCATTCTGTGAGACTGGGGAGCCAAGATGAACCAAACTGCATCCGTCTCTCATCAGATTGACTGTCAGCCAGCCAAGGATTCCAAGGTAGGAAGGATTTGTTCTTGTTGTGGTTTGTTTCTCTCAAATGTGGTTTTCTTTCTCGCGTTCTTGAGTATTTTTTCCTCACACTCTGTAGAATCACTGCGCCGCTCTCCTCTCAGTCAACTGATCGTGGTGGTGGAGGTATTCAGATCCTTAAATGAAAGTATCCATACCACATTGAAACAATACTCTGTTAGAAGTAAAAGTCCTGCATTGAACATCAAAGTAAAGGAATATCAGCATAATCAGGAAAATGTAAGCTATATAAAGTATTCAAAGTATAAAAATATCCCCAGATTATTATGATTTATGTAACAAAGGCAGGATTTTACTGTTGTAGTTGATTAAGGTTGAGCTCATGTGAACTATTTTGTATCAAACTGCAACTGATTCCTTCTCATTCTGGATTAATCCACTGATTATATTCTTTATTAATCAACTGCGATTGTCTGATTTGTAAAAAATCAGAAAATAGAGAGAAAAGACGTTGCATGTTGCGCTA